AGTCCTGAGTCCATTGTGTTGCAGAGTCCTGAGTCTATTGCATTGAACTATAAAGACATTGGAGGGGATTTTATCAAAACTGGAGCAGACAAAATCTGGAGCAGCTGTGCATGGCAACCAATCAGCATCTCTCTTTCATTTTCAAATCTTAACTGAAAAAACTGAAGAGAAGCTGATTGGTTGCCATGGGCAACTGCTCCAGATTCTGTCTGCTCCTGTTGTTATTAATTCCCCCTATTGTTTTTACTTTATAGTTTCTTTTTGGGGGAAGGTGATGTAGGTGGATACATGAGTCTATTGTGTTGCAGAGTCCTGAGTCCATTGAATTGCAGAGTCATGAATCCATTGTGTTGCAGAGTCCTGAATTTTTTGCATTGTAGAGTCTTGAGTCCATTGCGTTGCAGTGTCCCGAGTCCAGTGCATTGCAGAGTTGTAAGTCCAGAGTGTTGCACAGTCCTAAGTCCAGAACGTTGCAGGGTCCTAAATCCAGAACGTTGCAGAGTCCTAAGTCCAGAACGTTGCAGAGTCCTGACTCCATTGTGCTGCAATGTCCTGAGTCCATTGCGGTGCAGAGTCGTGAGTCGATTACAGTTCAGAGTCGTGAGTCCATTGCGTTGCAGAGCCCTGAGTCCATTGCGTTGCAGAGCCCTGAGTCCATTGCGTTGCAGAGCCCTGAGTCCATTGCATTGCAGACCCCTGAGTTCATTGCATCGCAGAGTCCTGAGTCCATTGTGTTGCTGAATTCTGAAAGAGCCCTGAGTCCATTGCGTTGCAGAGCCCTGAGTCCATTGCATTGCAGACCCCTGAGTTCATTGCATCGCAGAGTCCTGAGTCCATTGTGTTGCTGAATTCTGAGTACTACCTGAACCGGAGTTCCACATTTTTGATGCTCTAACCATAAAGATTGCCCAGTGCAATTTCAGATTGATCCTCCTCCCCTTCCCCCAACCTCAAATTGTGGTCACATGTCTTCGACATGGACCTTAGATGAAACAGTTTTGTTACCATCACTACAGTCACTATTGATTCATTTGTAGATAGCGATGATGTATGCTCTTAAAGGGACTCTTCTCTAAGATTAATAAGTGTAATTTGCTTAGTCGTTCTTCCCAGCTGAGGTCCTCCAGACCCCCTTATTATTTTGTTGCCCTTCACTGAACTCTTTCTATTTGAAGGACATCCTTCTAGCTTGATTGGTAACCAGAACTGTACTGCATACTCAAGATGAGGCTGGACCAATGTTTTGTAAAGGGGTAAAAGGAATTGATTTGTCCCTCAGATAAATACTCTTTTAAATGCATGATCGTTTTCTGTATTAAATGTGGCCTAGCATTGCATGCTGTTGCTAGTTCTGTGCTCCACAAGGATCCCCAAATCTTTTTCCATCACCTAACAAATGTCAGAGTTCTTAGTACACACTGGTTATCTAAAAGAAAATACAGATTAACGCATACCAGTGACACAACTTTACACAATTTTGAATTTTATGAAGACTTAAGCCATAAAAAACAATATACTATATTATATAGCGCAAAGATCTTGGTGATTAAGAACACAACACACACAAGCAATAGAGTAATCATATCCACCACGACTAAAAAAGGCAAAGGGTATCAATTAGTCCTTGTAAATCCTTGTAAGCAGAATTCATATCAGGCTAGCAATACATCTGCTGCTTTTTCTCTAGACATTTTAAGGGGCAGTGAAAAATGAAATGTCATTCCCAGTTGTTTGTTCAGAAACATGATCCACCCTAGACAGCTGTTCTCCCCCTTCTCCGTCACACCCTGACATATTGCCCTCCCTGCTTACTTTCTCATCAGACACACTGCCAGCCCCTCTCTCCAGACACACTGCTACCCACCATCCCCCTTCACTATGCACAGCACAGCTCTTGATTGGCCAGCCAAGGGAAGCTGAAATATAAACAAACAGAAGACAGGCGGCTGCAGACAGAGACTCAGACCGAATCTACAAAGCAGAACCTGAATCAGAACCTTGATCGGGCCCTATACAGCTCAATGACTTGACGTCCAGGGGCAGGTAGCAGTGGAGAGGAGCCGTGCCATACAACGGGAGGTGGATCGCGGTTCAGCACCAGCAGTGGACAGCTCCCAGGGCTACGTGTGCTTTGTGGCTGACATCTGTGCCCAGCGTGTCACCTAACCAGCAAGGAGGGGTGCAGTGCATGTGGGCATCGGTACCCAGGGGCCACTACTACTGGCACACGTTCGCAAAGGGACCCTCTCCCAGGGTGTGGACATCTTTGAATAGAGGAAAATAATGACAGCGATGGAATATGGTGGCATAATAGGGTAGTTCCATTGCACAGAGCATAGCTGGCACCCCTGTAGCAGTGGGCACAGGGTGGCAGAGGGGTGATGGGGGGTCGGCTGAGCAGACAGAGCAGTCTGGAAGATGACCAGGAGGACGTAATGGACTTGGGGCCCCTGAGAGGGGAACCTACAGGCTCTCGAAGTGCTGATTTCACATCGCTGATCCTGAACTCAGAGAGGATCCCCGGGGTGTTAAGAAAGAACAAACCGGCTCCGTATGTAAGGAGGGCAGAATGGATACGGGACATTCAGGCGTTACTCCGGGACCACAAGCAGGAACGGGCTGTGCATATCCTCAAACTGCTCCGCAAGGTAAGAAACCCCATCACTGTGCCTATCGTGTAGCTAGAAATATGTATCCAAACCCACCTTGGTCTTACACTTCTCCAACCCAAATCAGACAAATGAAAGTCTCCAGGCTGCTTCTTTCCCAACTAAAATGGGTGATTCATTTATCTGCCTCTATATCCTGAAATCCTGACATCCCCAGTGTTGTAAGATGGTTCCTGTAAGGCAACACAGCCTGATTTATTCGGAAGTACTGGTTCCTGAGTGTATTGCCCATTCAGTTGCTGGTAAAGCAGTCAAAAAGACTGATTTCAGCACTTTATTATTGAATTATGACATGCACAGCACTGTGAGGTTTCCTGTAGGGCTATCAGCCTAAATCTTTCTAAAGTACTGGTTTCTGACTTTATTTTAGAGTTTTCTTTTAAAACCCTGTTACTTTTAGGGCTCATTATGGAAAATGGTATCAACATTCCTTTACTGTGGGCATTGCCCTAAAAGAAGGTACCTGCTGATAAGTACAAGCATTGATCTTCACCCTGAACTTAGTCTTCTTATCAGTCTTGCTGCATGACCTTGGTCCTGAGTGTGATGACCTCCCCTTTTACTGTCTCTGTAGGACCTGGGCGTGGAGGGCACATTCCTCAATGATATCCTATATAGACATGGCACCTTCCTCAACCTGGTGGACCCCATCTCCCATGAACTGCTGCTTAGCTTGGCCAGGGAGCTACAGTGTCCTAGGAAGGTAAGAGTTAATATGTTTCAGTTATTCTGCACACAATAGACATTAGCTGTGTGTCTCCTGGAAATGATACATCTCTTATTCAGAACGCTGGAACCTGTTCAATAAGGGGACTCCACGGCTTGTAGCATAATCATATTCTGAATAGTTCTGATTATATTCTTAAAAATGTTATACCTGTGTTCAGTGTGAAACTGTTATTTCTTATAGCGGTGAGCGATATGGAGAATAGGCCTATATTTATTTGTCAGTTAGTCTGTCCAGTGTGTTTCTCAGCTTTCTCTGTGCTTAGAGCGAAAACCTTCCAGAAACACCAAGAATGGTACTGAATATCAATGATAAGAACATGGAAGAGTTAGTGAGGGTGGAGACTGGTAGGGGAGTGACTGAGGAGGAGGTGAGCACCGATAGGAGGGGTGGCAGAGAATCAAACACTGATGGGGACAGAGTAAGAAGAAAGGAAAGACAAACGATGTGAACAAGATGGTTTTCCGGACATGTTGAATGCAGTGAATGAATACATTGCTACGTATAACATTAAAATGACCACGGTATTGAAGAATGCATTAATGCAACAGATACCGTATATACTCGAGTATAAGCCGTCCCGAATATAAGCCGAGGTACCTAATTTAGGATGCAGTCCACTATAAAATCTTGTCTACGCAGACGACACACAGGTGATGTGGAATAGCTGTCTTATTCCGCCAATTAACCCTCTGTGCTGGCCTTCAAGAACTCTGAAACAAAGCAAATAGAGGGATAGGTGTGTGTGGGCATACTGTGTATATTTATATATTTAATTTTACCTAGCATATGGTAAAGTTTAATACATACATTTAAGAACCATTTTTTAAAAGCAAAGCTCACTTTTAAATAAATAATGAAATAAAATTAGAGTAACTGGATATTAATGGAAATGTGTGTGCTAAGCTTAAATAAACAGCTGTTAATTTGAATGCATAAGCTATAATTTGAATGCATCAGGTAACCTTGAATGTATGTGTTTATTACCTGTGGCCAAGCATTCTTCTTAATTGGGAAGTCCTTGCTTCTGTCAATGTAAAGGTCTTTTTTCAAACTTCCAAAGTGAAGTCCATGCCCCTCCTCTGCTCTATTTGGAGGGACAGATTGACAGGCTAAAACCACATCGAAAGCTAGTTTTTTAAAATAAGAAAGCATGCCTAATACATTGGGGGAATGCTGTGGTATTTTTTTAAAGATGACAAAAACAGCTTAAAAAACACTTGTGTTCTACCTAGCATTACCTATCACCTGCATATGTATTGGCCTGGTAGTTCCTACCAGTTTCCGCTAAACTTGTATAAAGACAAAAAAAAACATTTCTCTGAAATGACAGCCTATTGCAGTATTGAAAGACATGAGAGGGTCATCATTCGATACTTTGACCACAATCAAATTGTTTATAGGTCACTCAAGAGTGACCTAGATCACAGAAAATCTCTCGCACAGCAAATCTTTAATGATCAGGTTGGAAAATTTCAGCTGCTATTCTTACCTCATTCTCATAAAATAAGAGCAATAGTACAGTTTATACTAGTTTTCAAATCACATACATACTTGTATAATATGCACTATAAAAAGCAGTGGTTTGTGAATATATTAGCTTCTGCTTTCCAGCAATAGAACTGGTCCTGAGGAACCTACACAAATTGATATCAGTATAACGCTATGCACAGTTGAAAACGAACCAGTCATTATTGAGCCTAGGCAAGAATCTGAACATGTATTTATAGCCAAAACCTTTTTTTTTTATGTTTTGGATAGAGTGCACACACACATTTACACACACACAGTCCGAGGAACTGGGCCTACCTTACTTGCAGCCTTCTCTACCTGTCTACCACCAGTGAGGCTATAGCCAAGATTCTCAATGCCATAGCCACTTGCCAAATGAGCCTTACTACCAAAATTGAACAAGACAAAAGGGTTATCTCATTCCCACTGATTTCCACCAGCATGTTGAAACAGTTGAAAAAGAGACCCGGTTTAGCAAGATGGAGAACGAGCTTTCCCCCAATAGCTCCAACATGTTGCCACTACAATAGTCCATCCCAGCCTTTCAAAAGCACTCACAGGGCCAAGAGAACTGTTTTAGGAGATCCAATTTCAGAGTAGGAGACTTGTTGTAAGCCTACTGTACCTCTTCTGCCAGCACAGGGTTTAGCTCCTCTTTACTGTTTAGGTCTGCTGTTTGTTTTGTACTATAAGTTGTTAAATGCTGCTGCTCGTCTCACCACTAGTTGTTGCCTTAGCTGATGGCTTAGTCGTACATAATATTGTTGTCCTTTATGACATATGACAATAAACAATGACAATAAACAATTGAAGGTCTTGAGCTGGAACATGCATGATCTGAATATTAGGTTTTTAAAGATATATAGTTATAACTTACATCAAGAAGCAACACCCAGACATTGTGATCCTGCAGGAGAGACATCTTACTGGCAGATAAATGCTTTACCTGAGCAAGGTTGGGTTGGCTGGATTTATCATGCTGCTTACTCCCAGTACTCTCAATCCTGATTAAGCACAATGTCAGTTTGCACTCCTTAATGTGAAACAGGATTGAACCAGTAGATATGTGTTTCTGCACAATGGATGCTAAATCAGTGACTATATTAGCATTCTATATCCTCCTTCTTACCCAGTAGACACACTCTATGATGCAGCCAACTTCATGGCCACCCTTGAACATGCCTACTCTCTTTGGATTAGATACTTCATTAATGTCATTATGCTCTATCTAGTCAAAATAACTTCTCAGAGCCTGTCCCAAACTTCCAACACTACCCCCTGCGCTAAACAGATGCAAAAACTATGCTTTGTCGATATATGCCGTCAGTACTTTTGCTCCTCTTTGTCTTATTTACTTTCACGTATAAATGTAGCATTTCTTCTAGCAGCCTACTCCTGATGGTAGTGTCAGCCACTTATCTACCCAAGCTAGTGTCAGACTATTGCCCATTGGCTGTCATCCTGGAATGGGGTCAAGCCCCCTATATGCTTATTGAGACATAGAAACATAAAAGAGTGACAGTAGAAAAAGACCAAGTGATCCATCGAGTCTGACCCTTTTCTTATTTGTATGTCTGTTTGGCCCAAGCATGTTAAAATTCACTTTTCACTGTTGAACTGCTCATTACTTCTGCTAGAAGCCTGTTTCAAGCATCAACTACTCTCTTGATAAAATAATACTTCCTTACTTCCTAAGGTTAGTTTTGAACTTTTCTCCTGCTAAATTAAGATCATGTCACTGTGTTCTTAATCTCCTCTTAATATTAAAAATACTGTCTTCCTGTACTCTCTTCACACTCTTTAATGCATTTAAAGGTTTCAATCAGGTCTCCTCTTTCCCTTTTTTTTTTGCCTCAAGACTGTACATATTAAGTTCCTGCAGTCTTCTAATATATTTTATCCCTCAGACCATTTACTATTTTGTTGCCGGCCTCTGGACTAATTTGATCTTATCAATTTCTTTTTGTAAGTGAGTGTGAAATGCTATGAAATGTTTTGGTATGAGCACCATCCGATTTTAACACATTTGTGATATAGTCAATAAAATCAGTCACATAAGTCTGACATGATGTGTCCTCAGTAAAGCCAATCCATGTGGCGTGTGAAAAAAATGTGACTTCTACAATCCAACTTCCCTCCTGCCAACTGATGTCATAATTACTTGTATGTGTGCCGTCATAACATCTATCATACAAGCAGACAAAAAAGTTTTTCTTCAATGTACAATGTTCAATCAATCTCTGCAGATGAATACAAAATATACGATGTCCACATGATAACAGTTGTCAAGGCATGATCGTTTCTTTGGGCAGAGCCTTATATGCCATGAATTGGCCCTTTCTTATGGCTCTCCTTGGTAGATTCGCCTTTGGTCAGGTTTTTATGAAATTATCAAACTTGCTTTACTAGGCTCCTATATAGTTTGCACAAATTTGTGCGTGGAACTAGACCTGAATGCTGTTATGGCCACTGCTAGTACCAGCACCACAGAATCGCTGGCAATTAGAATACAGTAACATTCCCAAATAGTAGGCCTTAAGGTGGTATACCTCAAAGAAAGGTAGGACTTTGTGAGGATGATTACCTCACAGATGGCTCTTGATGTTTTCGCTGAATCAGGTTATTAATCTGGATTATATGGACCAAATTGACCCACAACAGATCCCCCAGATTACCTCCTATCCACAATTAAACTTTTAGGTAACTAGGTATAAAAATTACTAGTGACCGCAAGTCCTTTATTCCCACCAACATAGACCCACTGTGTACATACCACTGTGAATATTTCAGAAATGTCCCTATTTGACTTTAGAATGTTCTTTGGAGAAAATTCTAAAAAGACAGAAAGAACAGGACATATGTAACACTTAAAAATCCTACTTTATTCGGAGGCCTAGCACTTCCCTGGCTACAAAAAACTATAGCCAAACTCTTCCAGATACCAAACTGGTTTGTTAAAAGTTATATTTATAATAACATTCATAAGCTCTATCAGCTTTTAAATGGTAGAGCTGTACTAATTTCCATCAGCCGTATTTCACTAGGCTACAAATGAGTGGGAATAGGTAACAAATCTACACAACAGACTGGGATTATTATACTTCCTTATGGGAAAGCACAGTCCTCCTTGAGTCACCTAAACTTACTGATATAACTGTAGGCCAGGGGTGCCCACAATTTTTGTGTTAAGATCTACTTTTCAAATAGCGAGCTACATGAGATCTACCAATGAAAAAAAACCTCCCCGCGCTCTCTCCTGGTTGTCTCTCCTCACTCTCCTGGCTGTCTCTCCTTGCTCATCCTCCTGGCTGTCTCTCCTCACTCTCCTGGCTGTCATTCCTCGTTTTTTCTCCTGGCTGTCTCTCTTCGCTCTCTTGGCTGTCTCTCCTTGCTCGCTCCCCTGGCTGTCTCTCCCCTCTCTCTTTCCGGGCTGTCTCTCCTCTCTCTCTTTCCGGGCTGTCTCTCCCCGCTCTCTCTCCTGACTCACCTTGCTGTATTTTACAAACAGTGCAGTGCAACAGGCGGTGTAAACTAATATTCTTTGATGTAATACATAGCACTTCAACCACCAGTATCCACCAGAAAGGTGTCAGGGAGCTTGGCTCAGCAGACTCAGGCAAATAGGTAATCATGTGTGCACAGCTAAATAAATATACCAAAATGGAATAAAGGGGCCACCATTCACACACTTCGTGATCTACCAGCATCAGCTTTAAGAGCTACTGGTAGATCACGATCTACCTAATGGGCACGCCTACTGTAGGCAGTCACCAGGACTGGTTTTACTTTGTCAACTCCTAGAAAATCAGATTCTCAAATCATATGTACGGTTGGAAGCCTCCTCTAGGAAGTGGCAACAAGTAGCACATGCCTTTTAGGCTCAGTTTCCCAACACAGCACTTATCATAGTTGACCATCCACATTTAAACTTTGTAAAAGATGTACATGGGAAACAGCTAATAAGTAACCTTCATAATTGGTTGATTATTTCCAAGGCAAATTTAAATGTGCTATATTAACCCCGGCACTGTGCAATCTAAATAAATCTATAATTTACTCTAGTGTTAACTGCCCACCTTTAATTAATATGCCTTAAATTGTGTCAAATACTAGATGACACTCAACTAAACAAATACAGAAAAATATCTATAACTAGTAAAACAGTAACACAAGTAAAACAGTTAAATAAATTAAACAGAACAGTCCACCTACTAACTGTTATACATGTTTGAGCCATGAGTATCTGAGGAAGGAACAGATTTGGGGGTTAATCAACCTACCTATAGTGTGGGAGTCAAGTGTGTCAATCTTATACAGTAAATGGAGGGTCATATAACAATGTTATGTGGTACAATTCGGGAAAAGATCTGGGTCATTTTCATTGATCTCACAGAATTGTAGAATATATAAGGACACTTTATGTGGACTCTATGTTATATTTATTCTACAATTTTTTACATTTTGTTTATTATAGTCAATTCACTGTATAGTTACAAATACGTTTTTTTTGTATTTGCTTAGATGAGGGCCACCTAGTATTTGATAAAAATGTAAATGTACAAAATTAATTTCAGGCCTGGCGAAAGGAAATCTCTGATCTTGATAACGAGGATTGGGAGTAGTAGTAGTAGTGTAAAGCGCTGCACAAACTGTTGGCGCTATATAAATCCTGTGTAATAATAATAATAATAGTGGCTGGCAATCCCTCACAGTTTCTCTATGTGGCAAGGAAAAGCAAATCCAAGGGACTAGAATGCACTGCGCCTACATAGCCCACACATATTGTCAAGTGGAAGTTTTAATTTTTGATTGTTTTCCCCTTGCATATATAAATAAAATGTTGTAAATAACAATAACAAAAATAATAGACTGGGAGCTATCATTTTCTACTATAGTTTCATGTCTGCATCAGCTTTCCAGAAAGGCAGGGCAAAATCATATAGTTTGGTATGGAACATTTATGGTAAGGAAAGGATGTGCACACACTCACATACAAATGTCTAAACATTTAGCTGTGTAATCTGCATTATATACTATACAAGGTTTAGATTGTATCCCTGATTTTCACAGTGACTAAATAAGCATCAGAATGGCATAAAAAAATATTTAACTAAAGTACCTGTAAATTTAAGTAAGTCATTCAACTGTAACTGCAAACCTGCATGAATGAGTGACTGCGCTTAGTGTGTAAGAGGTTGCATGAGTCAATGTGATTAGTTCAGTGGATGCACTTCGAGTCACCGAAATGAGTATATATATATATAAATAATTGACACACACACACACACACACATACACACAAGGTAGACTTGACAGATGTGTTATCAATCTAGGTGTCAAAGTGTGTCTAAAACCTACATTTAGAGAAGGGTTATTTTTTCTCACTTTTTCTATTACTTCTTTTTTCATTCTCTATTTGTCCTGGTGACTTGTCTCCAGTACAGAATGTGAGGGAAATCCAAAAGTTTGAGTTGTCACTGGAACAGTAATAGAGGGGAAATCTTCCAATAGGGACATTGGTTACTATAGCAACTGTCTGAGAGGATTTCCTTATTGATGTATCTACAGGACAGGAACTGAAGGGGAAATCTCCCTAACGGGATACAAACAACAAAATAAAATCCTGGCAGTGGTTTTAAGGCTTATCTACTCTATCCCAAACTTAAAAATCAGATATACTTTTACGGATATATTTTATTAATGCTAAAATTACAATGTTGTTCTTATAATTTATATGGTATGAATTCTGTGTAGTAATAATGTTCCATTATGTGTTTATGTTTTTAGAAGTGCTTATATACATAATTTTATTTGAGTTTACATTCTTGTAGGACCATGATCCAATGAAGTCCACAGACCGTATTTGCCGGCAACTTCTTTACCACCTGACCCCACATTCCAAATGGCATAGGCACAGTCTACCTCGGAGGAAAAGCATGGCATGGTGAGCTGACAGAGAAAAAGTGGCAACACGGCAAAAAAAAAATGAATAAGTGAAAATTAGGGGAAACTCCAGGATTGTTCTAAATTAATACAAAATTAACTGATTGTTGTGCAACCCGTTTTGTGATGCTATTACATTTCCATTCACATTTGCAGTAATTTATGGCTTTTTAGAACTGCCAGACAATTCAACGTTTGCCTCCCTAAAACCATAGCAACAATTTAAAATGAGAATTTCTCAGAATCTTTATCCTTTTTTCTATAATTGACTCACTGACCCTACTAGAAGTTCGCACAGAGCTCAAAGACAAATGACAGGCAGCCCATTACAAGTTTCTTCTTTTAGTTAGATATTTGCACAGATTACTGTATTTTAAAAGAAATGCAGGTAATTTTATAAATCATGATTTATATATCATGTGCACAACCATAAGCTGGTTGAATGCTGTTTGCATGCATTCTCACCACTAGAAAGAGCGGAGAAGCATAGGTAGCAAGAATGCTGTGTGAACAGCATTTGGCCAGCATATGGCTGGGCAGAAAATGTATCAATCATCTCCTAAATGTTCATGTCAAAGAAGTTAAGCAAGAACACAAGATTGGTTTATTCTAATATATACAAAACACAAGGAAGTAAGGATGCAAAATAAAGTTTTTTTCCCAACACAACGGGTGCTTCATGGTTTTCACATTTATTCATGACAAAGTAATAAATGTGTGTTTGAATTTGTTATATCTGGAGGGGCAGGTCCATCAGCAGGATTTATGAAGAAAAGGAAAATATTTAGTATGTTATTGCATTTAATGTCATTTCATGAAATAGAACATCTCATTGTTTTTGTAAAATCAAACATTTTATCACAATAATATGAAAGTATGTTGACTTTAGGATTATGATGGGTAATTGTCAGGATATACTACAGATATAGTCCTTACACCACTTTTTTGTGATTTAGTGTTACTGAATTACAACTGTCTCTTTCAATCTAGAGCCAGCTATTATGTTCTAAAACTTGAAGTGAGCCTTGTACTAAAAGGAAAGTCTGCTCATTACATCAGGCCCCATATCAAATTACTGTATGATGGCAGTGAAAAAAGTACCTATGGGGAAAAAGACAGACAATAGATACCTGGCATTTGCACCACATAGCACACAAGAAACTATAGCAGTTACAGTGGTAGGAGTTTAGTGTTACAATTTCTGCCAGACGCAAGTGGGTTTATGCATTCAATGCAATTATTGCTGCTTCTGAGTAATGTTTTATTAACATACCTAAACTGTTTTTCTTTTTTGTCTGACAGTCTAAAAAGCAGCTTGCAGCAGAATTCAAAAATAGAGACCCTGGATCTCTCTGGTATCACCTTGTCATCCAGAGATATGCAGCGCGTAATACTGTACTTGCAAGGCCACGCAGACAGCCTAACAAGTGTGGACCTAAGCTTTGCTGACCTCACAGACATCACCTTGGCACAGGCCATGCCTGCTCTTGCAGTCCTCCCCAATCTTACGCACCTTGCACTCAATGGAAACCGGCTTACTTGTGCCACCTTGAAGGAGCTTAGCGAAGTCATGAAAGACAGTACCAACTTTCGTTCATTGGCCTGGGTGGACCTGGGCAACAATGTGGACATTTGTTCAATGCCTCAGCCTTTGCTTTTAGGATTGAGGCGCCGCCTGTGCCAACAGAATCTGCTTCCCACCATCCCTGAGGCACAGGACAGTGACTTGTCAGAAGGAGTTTCCATGTCTTTCCCACTGCCTTGGGACAGGTGAGGTCCCTCAATGTCATTAGCACAGAGAGAGGGACCGAACCACCCCTCCTCACACCAGTGTTGATCCCATCTAACATAAGCAGAGATTGGATGTCACACTCACTGTGCAATAGGTAGTATATTTTCAGCCAAGGAGGGGGGGTACCAGATAAAGGTACCCCATAGCCCCACTCATCTTCACCCACTGGGTGGGGAGCCCGGAGGCAAGGCAGCCCATCACAGCTCAGCACCGGCCTCATCACTGCGTGTTCTGTGGATTAATCCCCAAACAAAAGAGGCCAGTGATTGCAGCCGGGCAGGGACAGAACTGCAGTGTCAGGAAAAGCGGAAAGGGGGGGGGGGGGGGCGCACCAACCCGAGG